GTTAGTTTGTTCACTCCTATTTTTAACATAACATAAAGATAAATATAATAACAAATACGCCCAATGTGTATTTCAAATTTGATTCACATCCCTTGCATTCCAAGTTAAAAAGTAAAATTGGATTAATCGGGTCTGAGATTTAATGCAGACCTGGTTACACTGAAACTCCCAATATAGAGCACTATAGTCTCAGAACGGTGCATGACGTTTTGACTCAGACGTTCTGGCGCAGCCTTGCGGCGCAGGACATTTTGACGCAGAGCCGTTTTCGCGCATAAAATTTTGGCGCCATTTAAAAATAAACTTTTTATTTACCTTAACGTTTATAAGCTTTTAATAAAGAGAATGCAAAATATATAATTTAAGAAACGTTTAAAAATAACTTTTTATTTAACTTAACTTTATAAACTTTTAATAAAGAGAATGCAAAATATATAAATTAAGAAACGTTTAACGAGTTACTAGTCCCATGCAATATTTTACCTTTAGCAAATGCAAACATCATCAAGTATCTTAGAGGACTTGCCCATAATTTTTTGATGGACTAATATACACGGACTTTCGGAAGACTTATTAAAAGTACAAGATTAGACAGGATTCATTAAATATTATTAAGTTGTTATAAGTTGATTATTTTGCATTTGCTAAAGGTAAAATATTGCATGGGACTAGTGACTCGTTAAACGATTCTTAATTTATATATTTTACATTCTCTTTATTAAAAGTTTATAAAAGTTACGTTAAATAAAAAGTTATTTTTAAATGGCACCAAAATGTCCTGCGCCAAAACGGCTCTGCACCAAAAAGTCCTGCTTCGGTATCAGAATAGTACATTATTATCTCAAAATTGTACAATACCATAGTATAATAGTAATTAAGTAAATAAATAAACATACATTATAATGTATACAATAACTATTCACATCGCATGTCTAATAAAGGTCAAGTCTCAAAGTAGATGACTGACATTTATATAAATAGAGCATTATTACAAATAAAAATGTTCCCACTATTTGCCATTTTGATAGACGAAGATGTGGTGGGGGAGCAGAGGACGCTTGCCAAAGTCACTTGAACAAAAGTGGGGGTGGGGTTTGGGGAGGAGGCTGAACATCCTGCCCAGAATTTTTTTATAAATTCAAAATGCAGGTGTGCCCGTATGTGTATTCCTGAATAGTTTTGCATCATTCTGGACTTAATCGTAATATGTGTGAAAATTAGGTTCCCCTTGCCTAGCTTTGTTTACATAAATCCTTTTTATATTAGTAGTTAATAAATAAGTACATTTGAAAAATAATTTATTACTTATTTCAATATATCAGTCCAAAATGGGGGCCGGTACACCAAAATACTGCATACCATGATGTACACAAAATGATGTATATATATCTGTATAAAAATGTCTGTTTATGCAACATATTAAAACAATCCCTTTTTGAACGTTGAATGAAGAAATAAGTTCATCTGTGATACATTCGGCGGCGCAAAACTTTTAACGCAGCAGGCCATGGGTTGCTCACACTTTTTGTACTTAACCAAGGAGACTGATTTTCTTTTCTTTTAGCCTATTGTGGTCTAAAACTACTGCAAGCTGAATTGAGCGACGCGAAGAGAAGTCATGGAATAAAACTGGGGTATTAATATTAAAATTGTACAGCTGCTTAGTAACTTCTAAAAATAGATTTCAAATGCCTTGATTTTATAGAATATGCCGAAATCTAACGCAGCTGTGCGGAGCAGCTTAGAATGTATTTTTTTTAAAATGTCGTCTTGAAAAAGCAGTGAAGATTCCATGCCAAGGATAATATTAAAATCATCCATGCAATTCAATGTGCACATATGTCAATGTAGCCAAATTTGAATGCCAAGTGTTGATGGGACATCCATATATAATGCATGCAAAAAGATCTACATATTTTCATACCCCTTCCCGCTCCCTGTATATGTAAGGGGCATTCCATATATTAGGTATGCTCTGAGGATGCATATGACAGCATGGGAGGGTCTCACAAATATGTACCTAAATTGTTGCATAAATTTTATAATTATCCTGACAGTCACTAATAGAGCCAACTGTCACCTAAAAATCTATTAAATCTATTATTTCTTATTAGGCCTGTTAAGGTTGTAAAAATATCACCACATTGTTTTGCAGTTATCGGCATATTAATGCTGTGTTTCCATAAATAGCTCACTAAATATCGCTGTAGACTGAAGTAATATTTAGCCTAATGACAACAAACTGTAGTCTGTAGTCTTTCCGCGCTGGTGACGTAATTATTTCATTCAGCGACCAACCTCACCAACCAAATCGGTGGGGGAAATATATTTCTTAACTACGTCTCTTAAAGACGTGGTTCCGACAGGTCTCAGCATAGAATCATTAAAGACATCTCAAAATCATATATTGTACGCCAAAATCTTATGAGTAAACAGGTCAGTTCCAAGCCATAACTTATTCTTCATATTTTGAGGGCCCTTGATCAATGTATTGATCATTCTGGTTCCTATAATAATAATAATAGTAATAATAAGAGGTCTTATATAGCGCGGTACCCCAGCCTAGGGCTGGGCTCGCCGCGCTGTGCATAAAAATTTTATCAAAAGAGAAATAATCATGACATTAAAATAAAATACATTTATGAAATAAAGTACAGCAATGTATATTCACCGACCCCACCACATAACTTTTACAAGGCAAACCATGGACGGCAGCCAGCAAGATCATTTATCGGTCAGAGGAGGGGAATCAGTCAGGGTAGTATAATTTAAAAAGATATGTTTTTAGTGCAGTTTTGAATGCCTGGGTGGTTGGTATATTGCGTATATGTAGTGGCAAAGAATTCCATTGTTTGGGGGCGCATTTATCAAGTTTGGGGAGAGAGAGTAAACATTGTAAGTTATTTCATGTTGAAATGAAGAGTTATCTGACTGTGACACGATTGATCCGATTTCTCTCTACAGATTATCACTGGTTAACAGATCTTAATTTTATAAATAATTATATTAACGAAGTGGTTATGCGCAGCCGACTGCGTATAACCCTGAGAGTTATACGCAGTCGGCAAGTCACGTGACGTCTATATTCTTCCTGTGTTACAGTATCAATCAATAACGTTACTTTGTTATCGGGGTGACTGGGTGGTCGAATGATAAAAACTGACCAAACCCCAAGTTGATGGTCTGGAGTTCAATTCCAGCCAACGGAAAGCCAACGTGTTAGTTGCTACGTTTGTTCTCGAGAATGAACCAAAAAACAACTCCGCTTATTGCTTATTATTTTACTTTTGTTTTGGCTAAAAAATGTTTAAACATTATACGAATTAACTTGACCAAAGTAATGTTAATAATGTTATACTTATAATTATCATAATATATGTTTGTGTTGTTAACATATATTTTGTGTTATTAACTAATTTTGTGGCAGATAAAATCATGTTTCTCTGGTACAGTAATAAATATAATCATGGGTGGAGAGCAGCAGTAAGAAAATCGCCGTAAGGGCAGGGGTTCTGTAGAGGGGGCACTATAAGTAATAATTTCACACAGCTATAGTTTTGCATGGAAGCTGAAAACTGTTATATTTTGGTCATAAAAAAAATAATCATAAATGATATAATTTTTTAAAAAATAAATAGAATGTATTTCCTGAATTAGTCAGTAAAACCAACCAAATAGCCATAGTCATAGCAACATATAAAAACATAATCAATCAAAATACATAACTAGACTTAGACCATGGATCTGCCTTTTAAAAAATCTTAGACTTAGGCTTAGACGCTAAGAAATGTAGACTTTGACTTATAATTATAATATATAAGATACAAGCAATAATACTAATAATAGCACTAATACTAATACTATTGCTATCATTCAATTTCATTATTAATTAAAATTAATTCAATTACAATTTTACGTTAAACACATTAAAAGTTACAGTTCAAAACAACCCATCATGCGGCTAATTACGCATAATACTTTTTTTTTTAATTGCCAAACTAGCGGTAATAAACCTTATTTGGCTAAATTCCCAGCCGACTGCGTATAACGCTTCCCGTATATTAAATACTCTGGACTGGAAAAGACAAAATTAAACTGAAACTAGCCTGACTAAAGTTGTCAAAATAGACAAGTCAAAACAGAAATAGTAGAACAAGGTAAATGGTAGCTTGAATCAAAAGACAGGACAAAAGATAAGAACATTTCGGCTAAGACTAAGAGCTTTCCTCAGCAGAAAAATGAAAATATGAAAAGTAATAGTTTTTTAACAGAGTTCCTATTTCTACACTGTGTACTGACAGTACTGTGTAGACAACAGCTTGAACACCAGTAGTAACACACTACCAGTCCTTCAAATACTTCAATTATTATCAAAACTTAAAGAGTAAAGACTAGTACTAGTAGAGGCTGTTATAATTACTTGGCTACTAATTAACATAGTCACTAAAAGTAAGTACTAAAAAGACTAGGTTTAGAGTCAAGGAAGTTCATAACAATTTAAGTTTAAGTATTGAGTAAGAAGAAGTCTCAGGCCTAAACTAAACTAACTAAAACCTAAAAGTTTCACTTATACTTTATAAACTTATTAAATTATTAACTAAAAATGAATGAAATGGCCTAAAAGTTGAAATTTTTTTACCGATAAACACGTTTAGCCCTATCTGTGTCAGATTTAGAGCCATTGCTGGGTTCTGCTCTTTTCTTCATTGCCTTTGTCAAAGGTAAAGATCATGCAGATGAATAATTATGCTTAATCCGCGTTCCAAAGCATTAGGCCTTACTATGAGAACCATTGTGACGGCCATTTTGGTAAAGTATCACGTGACATTTCTAAAAAAAATAGAATTTTAACAATAATGGCAACGATAAAAATAAAAAAAATATTTGCATACCATTTACAACAAGCTCAAAAACAATATTAATTTACTGCACAAAAAGACATTTCTAATTAAAATTTGAAGACTACGGCTAATTTTTGTAATTTTAAGCATAGGCTTTACTAAAGATGATTATTACATTTTTATATTAGTTCTTAGTTCTTAACCTTGTCTTTATTTTTTTTACATAAGCTTTCTAAACTTTCTTAGTTCCTAATGAAAATGGCAGCTCTTCTGAGTCTGAGACATACAAGCATGAGCGTTTCCAAAGCAAATACATTAATTAATATGCCGTATGTCAAACATTTTAAGCATTCATACTTTAGTTCAGGACCTCAAGTTGCGCTATGTAAGTGCTTTGATATTAATTCAATGCTTCGATCCTGTATGTGTGGTGGAAGACTTCTTTCGACTCGTTCAGAAACCAGAACATTGCATCAGCTGTGTCCCGAAAAAGGCTACAGATACAAATGGTTTTCTAAAGATCTAACAAACAACACTAATTTAAAGTCCAGAAGATTTGTTTCGAAGTTAACATCTTATTCAGTTCATAAACACTCCAGGTCTGTTACTAATTCTTCAGCTTTATTGCGTTCATGTAACAATTCAATTCTCAGTATCAGTAGGAATCCTACTGCTACTTTCACAATTAGAAATATTTCAACAGCCTCATCCCTTAAACAAAAAAAAAATGATGATGACGATGGAGAAAGTAAATTTAAGGAATCAGATTCTCAAGCATCAGTAACAGAGGAGCCACAACAAATGGTGAACAACTTCAATCCCATTGGGGCATTAACCACAATGTCTGTGCCAGAATTTCTTCCTATTGTTCCAGTCATTGCAATAAGTAGAAACCCTGTCTTTCCAAGATTCGTCAAGATGATAGAGGTATAAACATTTATAAACATTTTAACTAGTATTAGTAATGAACTTTTAAAATCATGAACCCCAAAAAGACATTTATTTAATAATGTCAGTGACACATTGACATTATCATTATTGGCAAAGATTTATCTTAAGTTTTTACCAAGTAATTACAAAGTCAATAAGTATAAGGGTCTCTGATTTCTGAGGGCTCATTTTGTTTTGAATTTATGCGCAATATATTCTGAGGTCTCATTTTTTTTTTGAATTTATGCGCAATATTTTCAAGAGTTCCTTGAAGTCAACATGCCAATGTCAATAGATTACCACTTAATCTTAAGAAAATATAAAAATAAATGCATATTATTGCCATGTGCAGTATGTAAAAAAACCCACAACTATGCAGTGAAGGGGTAGAAAGGGATCATGCAGGTAAGGGTGACTTCAGCTGGTCATCGGATCGTGTTGTGTATTTGAGTAATACAATAAAGCAGGATAATTAGATACATTTTTTTTTTTTTTTTTTTGTGTGTGTCAATTTTAAAACTTTTTTTTTGAATAATTACACCTGTATTTCACACTTATAGGGTACCCTATCGTTTAGAAGGGATCTTGATTTACTTTCCCAAATATTTCTGCCCTAAGTTTTTGAGTAATACAATAAAGCAGGATAATTAGATACATTTTTTTTTTTTTTTGTGTGTGTCAATTTTAAAACTATTTTTATGAATAATTACACCTGTATTTCACACTTATAGGGTACCCTATCGTTTAGAAGGGATCTTGATTTACATTCCCAAATATTTCTGCCCTAAGTTTTGTTTATTGGCAGTAAATATGGTAAATATTTTTGCATATGTAAAACACCAATGTCAAAATCTGTGTGTGGAGAATGTACAATGGTTTATATTTTTAAAAAATATCTTCGAGCTAGGACTAGTCACTATGTTATAAAGTAACAGCGGAAGTGAAAACAGGATTAGGTCACTACTTGTCATAGTGCTCTGCATATAGTGAAAGGATAAATCAACTTGTTTTTTTAAAATTCATAGCTCAAAAACTACTACTAAAGCTAGATAGTTAATTATGTTTGTTTCATTTTTTAAATTTAAACTTTGCTCATACTATTATATAAAATTAAAATAAATTTTAAAAGTAGACCTTATTTTAATATTTAAATCTTGAAATTTCAATGGGCATCTAATTGAAAGTGATAGATATAAACTTGTCCTTTGGTTCTAGTCTACTTAAAAAAAAATTAAATAGGGTAATTAGGACTTATAATACTAAAGACAGAAGATGCCCTTTTGCATGCATCATACATGTAAAACAAGAAATTATGATACCGGTAAGTTGATTACTTTATTACATTACATTAAACACTTATATTACTATGTATCAATAAGCTATAGGTTTTTATTGACATTTTCATATAAATATCAAAGTCTAGGGCCTGAATATTATTTACTTTACAGGTTACTCATCCTGCATTAATGGAGCTTTTGCGAAGAAAGATTAAGTTTAACTTGCCCTACGCTGGAGTCTTTTTAAAGAAAGATGACAGGTAAAGATTATCTAATAATTGTAGAGTAACTTATATATTTTGTCATAGATAAATCACTGACTACTATAAAAGAAACTTGTAATCACTTACCATATTTTATTTAAATAAACAGTAATGAATCAGATGTCGTTGATCACCTGGATGATGTATACAGAGTGGGAACCTTTGTTCACATCACAGAGATGCATGATCTGGGGGACAGACTTCGCATGATAGTAATGGCACATAGGAGGTAATGACTTTTAAACAATAACATCTTAAATCTAAAACAGGTTGCTATTTTACTTAAAATTTTTATTTTGTCTTTTTTGTGTGTCCAATTCAGCTGTCAACGTAGTTGATATTGTTCTGGAGTTAAGTATGACATTGTCTTAGAAGTTTAGATAATGTTGGTTCCAATAGATTATTTAGTCATATGGTTAATTTTAAAAGCACTATATCTCTTCTGTTCATTTCAATAGCAAAAAAAAACCTCTTGGATTTAGTATTCAAAATTATTAGCTTTTTATGCATTCATTTTCTAATGTGTGCCTACAGTAAAAGTTTTAAAAATAATATGACACTCATTATGTGCATGGTAAAAAAATTGATTGCAATTATTGCTTTAAACATAAATGATTCTGCTGATTTAATTTTTTTATGATTGTGGGACAATGTAAGTTTTCTCTGCCTCAGAATTGGACTTTTGTAAGGGAGAAATTTCATCCTATGATACATGTTTAAGTCAAAAAACTATAAGTATGAAAATTAAAGAGAGAAACATTTTTTTTTTGAATTTTTAAAAATATCAAGCTTTCACTGAAGTGGCATTGCCTCAAGCATCAGTGGGCATTGAGAATTCAATTAATTCATGTTACAGGTGGTAGTTCTCAATTCATTTAGGCACCTTTGATTTACAAATATTCGTTAAATAAACTACCCAAGCGTAACTTCTTTCTGTTTAAATTTTTTTTTTTTAAACTTTATTTTGCGTTTGAAGCATATCATTTTAATGAAATGCACAGATTGAATATTTAATTCAATTTTTTTAATATTTAAACATGACCCCTGGCATAAAGAATTTCATCACATAATGCAATGATTGCATATTTAGTTGGTTTTGAGACAGAACGAACAAAAACCCTAAATGAATTACCTTTATGAATGGAACTCATTTGTGAACTGAAAACTGCCGGTATATAACTGAAAACTGCTGGTATATACCTGAAAACTGCTGGTATATACCTGAAAACTGCTGGTATATAACACATTTTTTTTAATTGCATGATAACAACCTGTGAATATGATTTTTTTTCTTTTTTTCTCAATCCTAGAATAAAAATAACTGATCTCGGTGTGGAGGAAGATACCGATGCTGTACAAGACTCAGGTTGGTCTATTATTTTATGTAAACTGATGAGTTTTAAATAGCTGCTTTATTAAGCATATTTTTTGACGTAAGACATATTATTCTCTTTGTTTTTAAGCTCTGTTCCGTCAGCTAAGCTTTCTTAAATTGTTACAATTTTATCATAACTCTGAAAAAAGAGAAATTTGATCCCTAATTTAGCAAAATAAGCAAAGCATATTAAATTCACCAGCTCACGATAAAGCTAAACGAAAAAGTAGGCGTCGAATTGGAAAAAAAGAATCAGAAACAAAAAAAAAAGATGACGCCGCTCCTTCATCACGTACCACAGGATCATCATCTTCAGGTTCATTTTCAATAGGGAGTATTTTTGGAGCGTCCAAAGACTCCAGTCCCAAGAAAGCTAAAGCACCTAGTTCACCATCACATGTTCTGCTTGTTAAGACAGAGAACATAACTCATGAACAATTTGAAAGCAGTGATGAAATCAAGGTAAATAGTTTTCTGTATTTACTCAAGTTTGGTTCTTATTAATGAGCTCATTATATATCTAAAAAAAAATATATCTTTTTGTTTGAACAAAAATGCAAATTAAATAAGATTTTCAATGCTTTTCCAAGTTTATCAATCAGGATGTGAAACAAATGTTTACAATTTCAATAGATGTTCAACAATTTTCAACTGAGTTTTTGTAAGTGCATTAAAAAAAAAATCAGTGATGAAAGCAAACAATAATTAAGCTCAAACTGAAAAGTCAGGAAGGCTTGACTTTAATTTTCAATAGAAAAGGAAATGAAAGGAGAACCAAACTATTACTCAGTCATTTGGTTCACATTCAGAAAAAGAAAGAGGTAACACACATATCCATCTCTCCAATAGATACTGGTATTTTATTCATTGTCATTCAAAGAAATGATGCAAACACACTTTACCCCTCTTACCTTTCCCTAATGGGTTTATTAGATGGAAATTATCTTAAAAAGAAGTAATTAGAGTTTCACATTAACTCATCATCTTTGAAAGGGAATTAACATAAATATTTTTTAATTTTTATATTTTTCAGGCATTAACATCTGAGGTTGTAAAAACAATAAGGGATATCATTGCCATGAATCCTTTGTACAGGTCAGCATAAGAAACTATTTGATTTCTTCTAATGATGTTTGATTTGTGGTGTTCTGTCTGTTTATACTACCTTTGAGTAAAGGAAAAATGTATTCATTTTCCTTATTGATTCCACAGAGAGAACCTGGCACAAATAATCCAGGCAGGACAGAGAGTGATAGATAACCCAGTTTACATCAGTGATTTGGGTAAATTTTCCTTGGATTTTTTATTCTTAATTAACTGCTGTTTATTCAGTAATGTCTTTAAAATACATCTTAAGTTTTGAAGTTAAGATATGTTAGTTCATCGTCTTGTTTGATTAAACTATTAAAAAAATAACTGAAACAAACTATATATGCACTGAATTAAATTTAACTCTATTTTCATTTTAAAAATAACTCTTTTATTGCCCTCTCCAAAGGTGCTGCGCTTACTGCAGGTGAGCCACATGAGCTGCAAGAAGTGTTGGAGGAAAGAAATGTAAGGAGATAAACTTTAACCACTTTACATTTTGTCCAACTACTCTTTTCTAAGTTACGCACATAAACCAATGCCATAATTCAGAAGAAAATGTATAAAAATTATGACACTCAATTGTATCATTAGATTTGACTTTTTTATTTTTTTTTATTTCGGTGAGTATTTTAATTTATGACAACTGAGAAGTGGGACTAGGTACATCACATCAACTATGAAAGTTTGATAATTTTGATTTTGTGCCATAGCTGTCTTGTTTTCCGATAATTTTAGCTTTTGGTTCATTGAACATTATAAAACTTCCTATTTATAGATAGCCAAGCGGCTTATGTTAGCACTGTCCTTGCTAAAGAAAGAATTTGAGTTGAGCAAATTGCAACAGCGTATTGGAAAAGAAGTTGAGGAGAAGGTGAAGAAACAACACAGGGAATATATTTTACGAGAGCAGCTCAAAATCATCAAAAAAGAATTGGGTCTTGAAAAAGATGACAAAGATGCCATAGATGAGAAATTTCGATCACGGCTGAAGGTGATTTTTGCTTTCTACCTTTATGAATGTTTCAAAAGTCTGATATTTATTAGCTGAAGTATTAATATTGAATATTCTCCATCAGTATCAGTCAAGACTCCCTGGAAGTTAACACGATTGTTGGCATTGGAACAATTTTTTTTTTCTCTCTGTTTATTGAGAAGTTGATATATCTGAATTTTTCATTTGATTTCTGTTTTATAATAGTGAAGCACGTTGAAAAGTGTTGTTCCAAAATATCTTGATATTTTTTCGTTTTTGTTATTGAAGGAGTTGAATGTTCCACCGCATGTGAAGGAAGTTATAGATGAAGAACTCACCAAGCTATCACTACTAGACAATCATTCATCTGAGTTTAAGTAAGTTATAGAAGAAGAACTCACCAAGCTATCTATAATAGACATTCATCTGAGTTTAATTAAGTAATTTTATTGCCATTGATTTGTTAGCAATTTTTTATTACAAATAATATAATCAATCTGGAAATTTAAAATAAAAAAAGTTGTTACAGCAGTCTTTATTTTCCTAGTTGGTTTGAATTTTTTAACATGTGTATTTAAGTGTCACACGCAACTACTTGGACTGGCTAACTGGACTGCCGTGGGGTAAATACAGCGAGGAAACGCTCAGCCTAGAAAATGCACAAAAGATTTTGGATGAGGACCACTATGGCATGGAAGATGTCAAGAAAAGAATTTTGGTATGTTGATCTTTTTAGCTAATGTTTTCTTGACTTTAATTTAGCTTTTTTACCTTTTTGTACACCTTAACATGTTTTAATATTAATTTCCATGGACTGATGAGTTTAAATTTTTTAAATATATTTTTTTAAAAATCATTAATAATAACAAATAATTTATTTCCTCCAGGAATTCATTGCTGTCAGCCAACTCAAGGGTCACACTCAAGGCAAGATCCTTTGTTTCTATGGTCCACCTGGAGTGGGCAAAACTAGTATTGCCAAGTCCATTGCGAGGGCTTTGAATAGAAAGGTAAGTCAACTCAAAGCAAGATCCTTTGTTTCTATGGTCCACCTGGAGTGGGAAAAACTGGTATTCCAAGTCCATTGCAAGGGCTTTGTGTAGAAAGTTGATTGAGTTCTATCAATATCATTAGTATTTTACTCTCTAGTTTTCATTCAAGTATCTTTGTGCTAATTTGGATTTGATTTTGTGTCCACTCACAGGCCTTTTTCTCAGATGAAAGCCGTTACATTTGTATATCTTTTCTGCAACTAACAAAATAATATATGTTTGAAAGAACCAGCCAGCGTCATATCTTTAAATGTTAAAATAAAGCTTTTATCTCAAATAGTTTTCTGGTCCCTTCATTCACTTCAAAAATTCAGGCCTCTAATAATTGTATTCTTTTATAAACATGTTAGCCTGCTAAACATTATAATTAATAAATAATTTGTTTAACCTTTTGTACAAACTATTTTCCTTAAAACTTAGTGTATTTGTTGTTGGAAAACATTCATTAAAATGGATGGAAATTATATGACGTACTGTTATATGAACTACTATTATATGACCTACTAAATACATTGTGGTTTATTTTCTTTTGCTTACAGTATTTTAGATTCAGTGTTGGTGGTATGACAGATGTTGCTGAAATCAAAGGTCACAGGTTTGTAGAGGCATTAAAAAAAAAATGTGTGATGTGTTCAAGAAATGTATGTTTTCTGCCACTGTCTATATCAAAATGTATCACTATGGTTTGTTGTATGATTCATTGAAACACCAATTTTTGATGAATGTGTTGACAATTAATCTCGGGGTATTTGTTTCTGATTGAAACATTACAGTGTATTGAGCATTTAGGACCTTCCACATGCATCATCTAATGACATCATTGTGTCATCTGCAGGAGGACATATGTCGGGGCCATGCCTGGTAAAATGATCCAGTGTTTGAAAAAGACCAAAACTGAGAATCCACTAGTTTTGATTGATGAAGTAGATAAAATGGGTCGTGGCTTCCAGGGGGATCCCTCATCTGCTCTACTTGAACTATTAGATCCAGAACAGAACCATAATTTCTTGGACCATTATCTGGATGTTACAGTTGACCTGAGTAAGGTAAGTTTAGATGAAGCTTATATGTTGTTTAAGTTGTTTTGAAAACACTAGTAGAATATATAATATGTTTTGTATTATATATTAATTCAATTACCTCATTTATTTAGTCCATGGCCAGTGAGACAATTAACTACACACCTATTTACGAAGCAGTTTTAAGGCGTTGCTTCCCTTAATTTCATAAAAATATTTTTGACAAGTCTTAACATTAATTTGATATTTTTGCAATCTCAATTCTGTTTCAGTTTTAAAAGTAGTTTTTTTTAATAGTCTTTTTAAAAATAACCCTATACAATTTTATTTCTTTCAGGTGCTATTTATTTGCACTGCAAATGTAATTGACACAATTCCAGAACCTTTGAGAGACAGAATGGAAATGATTGATGTTTCAGGATATGTGGCAGAGGAAAAATTGGCAATAGCTACTGTAAGTGCTCACATCCAATAGATCAACCAAAAATGGGGGAGGGGAGGGGGATAGATATCAATATGTTACATCCTTGGTTATGAATTTTAACTTACCATTACCATACTATATGTGGCTATAATATATCTATATATTTAACTAGCAATACCTGGTGCCTCAAGCCCTAGCCAACTCTGGAGTTGATAAAAACAAGATGCATATAACAGATGAATCCTTGAACACACTCATCAAGTCATACTGCAGGGAGAGTGGTGTCAGGAACTTGCAAAAACACATTGAAAAGGTATCAAGAAGTGTATGCAATTCTTTAGTAGTAAATTAATCAGTGGTTATCATTGGAGACTACCAGAAATTTCCAGCATTATTCTGTTAATTAAGCTAGGGTAAGGCTACAGGAGTAAACCCAAACTGTAAAATTCAGGGTTGTAGTCCCGAAGTCGATCTGACGGGTAAAGCAAAGTCATTTCTGCTACTCCTGCAATGCAGTTAGTGCCGTGTTGTATTGACAGTAGTCATTCCCTTGGATCCATTGCTGCTTGGAGAGTAGGGATCTGCTGCATTTGGCAACAGCTGGTCTCCATAAAGCACCACCCGGGCTAACTGCTCTGGTGGCGACACTTCGATGGGCCTAGTAAACCTTCTGATGAAGTGTCCATAACTACTCCATTGCCTTCCTTTATGGAAGGATGCCATAAATATTCTGTTGATTTTTTAGTTTGTGCTAGAAAAAACTATTTTTAACAAAAATTGTTATTTTAAATATATGTTTATTTCAGGCAAGCATCCCAGTAAGATGGTTGTGAAATATTGTCAAGATCTAAACATGAGTGCAGCATGTTTTCTAAAACTAATTGTTTGAATCTTCCATTAGATCTATCGTAAAGCAGCCCTGAAAGTGGTCAAAGAGAAAATTGAAACCATAGTTGTGGACAGCAGTAACCTGCAAGAATATGTGGGCAAACCTTTATTTACACATGACAGATTGTATGAGACCACACCACCAGGTGTTGTTACAGGACTGGCATGGACAGCAATGGGTAAGTCATATAATCATCTTCTCATAGCAAAGTCTCATTTTTTTTCTATTTAATACTCAAATCTTATCAGAAATGCAACAAATGCTTATGATGTACATTCAACGGTAGGAATTTTAAAAAGTTTATTTTGAATTTATGTATGTAAAATGAATATCCAGTTATCATTGACCTAACCCAGTGGTCGGCAAATCCCGGCTTGCGAGTGGCTCTGTAGCGACCTGAGTGCTGCTCAGCCAGCAGGCCACAAATCGGTTTTGACTCTGAAAAACATGGTTCTTGACAGGTTCTTGAAAAGAAATTTGCCTCTCAAAAGTTTTTTAATCATCCTGCCGCTGATTTTTGGCTCTTTTGACTAATGAGTTTGCCGACCACTGACCGAACCATTTAATCATCTGGCCAATTGAATGATTCACTAGTATTGAATGGACACAAAGTTTGTCAGCAATTAGATCCACACACAATAATAACAGATTAATTACACTATATTATTTGAATTGCTATTAGGAGGATCAACTTTATTTATTGAAACTGCCTTGAAGAAACCTTTGAAAAGTGTGGTGAAAGAAGGAAGTGGTCCAGAAGTTGGTTCACTAGAACTGACTGGCAGTCTTGGTAACGTCATGAAAGAAAGTGCTCAACTGGCTTATACTTTTGCTAAAGCATTTACCACACAAACGTTTCCAGAGAATGATTTTATGCAAAAAGCACACATCCATCTGCACGTGCCTGAGGTATGGAATCTTGTTAATTGATGTGTCAGTACCACATTTTTACACTGGATATAATAGAACATTTTAATGCTTAATAAATTTGATTTGGAATAATGGGTATTCTCATATGTATTTTTTGTCATGTTTAGTATTTCAATGTGGTCAAATAGAGATTGTTTCATCTCTTTTTTAAATATGGATGACTTTGCATCATGCTTTGAGCCTCTGGGGATGAAGCGTGATTTTCAAATAAGCTTTATTATTATTATTATGTATGGTATGTCTTCTCTGACTGGATCATAGTTAACTAAATAGTCAGACAACCTTGCAGTCTTGACATAATGTAAATATGACTGTCACGTACTTCAAAAGCTTGATAACCTGCATCCACATGTCTCACTCACAATATATATATTTATAAATATAAACATATATCAGCATAAGTCCACCTTCAACATATTATTTATTTATTTCACAAATCACACAATATAGACTAAGTTTCACATTTATAAATTATAGCATAATGCTTCATTTGAGTACAGTCTCATGACATTCCTTTTGAATTAACTGCCACCTTTAAACTCATTCCAATATCTCTTCTCTTTCATTTCTGCCTTGTCTGTCTTTTTATCTACCCTTACATATCCTTACTCATATACCACATTGTGCTATTTACTCGACGGTTAATGTACATCAAATGTCTTTATGTTACAAATACATAAACATTTTGTGTCATATCAAGTGTTTTATTTTTGTACTGCAGGGTGCCACACCTAAAGATGGCCCTAGTGCTGGATGCACCATTGTAACAGCTTTGTTGTCCCTGATGTTGAATAAACCTGTAAGGCAAAACTTGGCCATGACAGGGGAAGTCTCACTCACTGGAAAGATTCTACCCGTTGGTGGAATCAAGGAGAAAATCATAGCTGTATGTTCTTTGCTGGTTTAAATTTATGACACTAAAACATTAACATTGAACACATAAAAATAGAGAAAACAATAAATACTTCTATAACAAACACATTGAACACAATTGAGATAACAATAAATACTTCTACAACAAACACATTAAATATAATAGAAAAAACAACAAATACTTGTACAACAAACACATTTGTAGTAAACCTAATACACGTGAGATTAATTAATGGGAATACTAGGACTTGAGATGATTGATCTGTTTGGATTTGTATCACCTTTACTGGCTTTTTGTTTGGACATTTAGAGATTAATGCCCCGTTGATTGACCCGAGATTACCGTTTGGATGATATCTCTCGTCATGTGGGATAACTCATTCTTGTTCATTTATCTTTCAGGCCAAACGTGTTGGCGTGACATGTGTGATTCTTCCTTCTGAAAACAAGAAAGATTTCTCTGATCTTCCTAAATTCATCACTGATGGAATAGACATTCATTTTGTTGAAAACTATCAAGAAGTTTTCAAACTGGCTTTCTCTGATGTTTAATCAGAAATCGTGCTGGTGCTTGATACGGTTGTAAACAGCACAGATCAGTTGTACAAAAACATTTTGTATGTGTATGAAAAGAAACCTTTTGTATGTGTTTGAACAGAAGCAGCAATTTTTTTCAACAGAAACATTTGTACGAGTTTGAAAAGAAACATTTCTTTCATATGTATTTGAACAGAAACCTTTGGGATGTGTTTGAACAGAAGCAGCATTTGTATGAGTTTGAAAAGAAATATTTCTTTCATATGTATTTGAACAGAAACCTTTGGGATGTGTTTGAACAGAAGCAGCATTTGGTTTCAACAGAAACAACACTTTGTACGAGTTTAAAAAAGAAACGTTTCTTTCATATGTACCGGTATTTGAACATAAACCTTTTGTATGTGTTTGAACAGGAGCAACATTTGTATGAGTTTGAAAAGAAACAAAGTTTTGTACTTTTTCGCATAACAATTTGTTTATTGACATAAGAGTGTTCACGTGAAAATTAATTAAAATGTTAAATATTTGATGTTGATTCCCAGAATAAAAATGTTTGATTATAAATTCTCAATGTTTCCTCGTGTCATTTTATTTAATGTCAATAGGAATACATTTGAGAAATGATATTGCTCTTGAATCATAATTTTTAAGTTAAGTAAGAATCACTTGTGGTCAATGAGCCATTAGATTTTTTTTTTTTTAAAGATTTGAGCTCAGGCTGTCATAAACCACTTGATTGGTAATCAATATAGTTCATGCATACAGGTTGGGTGGGGTAATCAATATAGTTCATACATAGGGGTTGGGTGTGGTATTCAATATAGTTCATACATATGTGTTGGGTGTGGTAATCAATATGGTTCATACATACGGGTTGGTTGTGGTAATCGATATAGTTCATACATACGGGTTGGGTGTGGTATTCAATATAGTTCATACATACGTGTTGGGTGTGGTAATCAATATAGTTCATACTTAGGGGTTGGGTGTGTTATTCAATATAGTTCATACATACGGGTTGGGTGTGGTATTCAATATAGTTCATACATACGGGTTGGGTGTGGTAATCAATATAGTTCATACATACGGGTTGGGTGTGGTAATCAATATAGTTCATACATACCGGTTGGGTGTGGTAATCAATATAGTTCATACATACGTGTTGGGTGTGGTATTCAATATAGTTCATACATACGTGTTGGGTGTGGTAATCAATATAGTTCATACATACGGGTTGGTTGTGGTAATCAATATAGTTCATACATACGGGTTGGTTGTGGTAATCAATATAGTTCATACATATGGGTTGGGGGGGGGGAGGAAGCGGATATTACATACTTTTATTCACAAATTTTGCATTCATTTCCCCAACATCCTGACAGATCATAAATCGCGTATTTATTGGTTGGTTGTGGTAATCAATATAGTTCATACATACGGGTTGGTTGTGGTAATCAATATAGTTCATACATATGGGTTGGGGGGGGGGGAGAGGAAGCGGATATTACATACTTTTATTCACAAATTTTGCATTCATTTCCCCAACATCCTGACAGATCATAAATCGCGTATTTATCAGAGTTTGAAGTACAATACGGCTACCAGTATTTATGAAGAGTATGTTTAGCACCAAGTACCCTGACAATGATATATAAGTACAATATCCGGTACATCTTCTGATATTTCAAGTACAAAAAAACTACTGGTATATGAAGTACAATATAGCTACAGTATTTGAAGTATTATACTGCTACCATTATTTGAAGCACAATATGGCTAACAATACTTCAATTACCATATATACAGCTACCGGTATTTGAAGTACAACACATCCATCAATATTTTAAGTGCAATGAGACTACCGGTATTTGAAGTACAATACTGCTACCAGTATTTGAAGTACAATAAAGCTACCTTTATTTGAAGTACAATACGGCTACTGGTATTTGAAGTACAATACTGCGATCGGTATTTGAAGTACAATACTGCGATCGGTATTTGAAGTACAATACTGCTAAAAGTAATGAAGTACAATACAGCTACCGGTATTTGAAGTACAATACTGCTACCAGTATTTGAAGTACAATAAAGCTACCTTTATTTGAAGTACAATACGGCTACTGGTATTTGAAGTACAATACTGCGATCGGTATTTGAAGTACAATACTGCGATCGGTATTTGAAGTACAATACTGCTAAAAGTAATGAAGTACAATACAGCTACCGGTATTTGAAGAACAATACTGCTACCAGTATTTGAAGTACAATACAGCTACCGGTATTTGAAGTACAATACTGCTACCGGTATTTGAAGTACAATACTGCTACCAGTATTTGAAGTACAATACGGCTACTGGTATTTGAAGTACAATACGGCTACTGGTGTTTGAAGTACAATATGACTATCGGTATTTCAAGTTTTGCTATTTTTTATATCTATATTTAAATCGGTCTGAATTTGAAAGCAAAAGGAATCTGTTCAACTGATCTTTTTCTCCTATTTATAATTCTCACCATCAAGTCGATTTGAATGTTTTTCAAAGTAATTCAGATGGAAACAAGAAATGTCTACTTGTCTGAGAGGACCATTTAACTACAGATGACAAACAACTACAGATCTACATTTGTATACTTCTTGGTGCAACATCTGTCCTGGAATCAGAAATGGGCGGCAATGGTACAATCATTTTTCTTCTCGACTCCAAGACTAGAGACCGCTGTGTAAGATTGTTCTAGTGCAGTCTACTGGACCTTGGCCAAGATATCTTAAGTGTTTGAGTAGCATCAAGTACCTGGGCCAGGTTATCTTAAGTGTTTGAGTAGCACCAAGTACCTGGGCCTGGATATCTTAAGTGTTTGACTAGCACCAAGTACCTGGGCCAGGATATCTTAAGGGTTTGAGTAACACCAAGTACCTGGGCCAGGATATCTTAAGTGTTTGAGTAACACCAAGTACCTTGGCCAGGATATCTTAAGGGTTTGAGTAACACCAAGTACCTGGGCCAGGATATCTTAAGGGTTTGAGTAGCACCAAGTACCTGGGCCAGGATATCTTAAGTATTTGAGTAACACCAAGTACCTGGGCCAGGATATCTTAAGGATTTGAGTAGCACCAAGTACCTGGGCCAGGATATCTTAAGTGTTTGATTAGCACCAAGTGCCTGGGCCAGGATATCTTAAGGGTTTGAGTAACACTATGTACTTTGGCAATTATATATTAAGTGTTTGAGAAGCCCCTGGGCCAAGATATCTTAAGTGTATGTTTAGCACCAAGTACCCGAACACTTGACACTGAACACTTGACCTGACACACTATTGGACACTGAACACTTGACCTGACACACTACAGGAACAGCGTTCCCACTGTTAAGATAGTTCATATGAGATTCAACAGTAGTCGCTATTTTTTCCTGTATTATTTCTGCATAGAGCATCATTTTTATTTCAAATGCGCGCCCATTTAAACCGAACAGTCCGCATGTTTCAAGAGAAAATCAATGAAGTGTACTGAACTGGTGGCCTCTGGGCAAGACAATCTGTTTGGTGAGAGAAAATAAATCTGCTCCTTTGTTTACAAGTTATCTGCCCACTGCTATTAGATAACAATCAATTTTTCATTGATCTTTTCAACCAGGTTCTTAAATCTGATAATGGTTGGACACAGGGGCTTTTTGAAAGTTTATTTTTTTTTTTTTTTTTTTTTTACAAGTGATCGATAATTAAGCTCAAAATTTGACTTCTCTCTCATCTTATAATGTGCCTTTGAATGAACAACTGTACAGCCACACACTGCACAGTAGAGACCGACCGAAAGCTATTTTCTGATTTCGGCCGAAACTGATGGAGGAAAGTATCAATATTTACATTATTTTTTTATAAAAATGAGATAATCATGAATATTATTAAATTTAAATCTAATATAGGGGTCTCAAACTCGCGGCCCGCGGGCCCACTACATGACAGCAAAGTTTAATGTTAATGCGGCCAGCGCGTTTTCCTCATTCTCATATCTATAATGTGACTCTCCTCGACGGTTTCAGTCGAATCTCACCGACTAGTCTAATTCTGATTTTTATTATGTTTCAATTTATTTGTATGATAATTATAATGATAGGAACCGTTCTAAAATTGGACTAAATTTTTTTATTTTATATCTTTTCATGAGACAAACATGACAAGAGTTCGGCTTTGAGAAAAGTTTTAAAAGTAAGTTAATAACCAAAATTGTGTAAATCGTAGCAATCTGATACAGTATCAAAGGATCCCAATTAAAATTGCCACTAGTGTTTACGAGTGAGGGAAATTTTTCACTTTCAAAATCTTCTTCGTTCTTCTTATGCCTTTTTACCCAGTCTGGGGCACAGACCATCCACAATAATTCATTCATGGTCCTGTGCTTTCCTTTCCAGTTGTTTCCAGGTGTATCCCATATTTTGCGTGTCTGCCTCTAGCTCGCGTCTCCATGCATTCTTTGGCCTTCCTCTCTTTCTTTTTCCAAATGTATTCCATGTTAGGAAATGTCTGGTGGTACTAACTGGGGGTTTTCGAAGAGTGTGTCCAATCCATCTCCATCTTTTCTTTAAGATGTCTTCGTCGATGGGCATCTGGTGAGTCATTTCTTGTAGATCTTTGTTGGTGATAATATTTGGCCATTTGATGTTCATGATCTTTCCAAGGCATGCGTTTATAAACGTCTGTACTTTCTGCGTAACGCTCGCCGTTGTTTTCCAAGTTTCTGCTCCCTATAGTAGGAATGTCTTTCAAAATAGGGTTAATCAAAAAGGACTTTACTACGATAAAAAGTCAAAATTCATTCTACCTACTATAGCGTCTTCCTTCGCATCAATAATTCATAAATATGGCCTGCTCTTGCCTACTGATTGACACGATTTAGCATTTAAAGCCTTCATGGAGAAGGATGGAGTGGTTGTTCCTATACTAAGTGATCCCAAAAGGCTCACGGGCTTAGTTTTTATTGTTGAAATTACACAGGAGCTTAATGTTCTCAACAAGAAGTTACAAGACCAGGGGTAGCTAGTCAGTGTTGCCTTTGACAAAGCCGAAAATAGGCCGAAAGTTTAAAATGACTTTCGGCCGAAACCGAAAAAAGGCCGAACGTTTAAAAATGACTTTCGGCCGAAACCGAAAAAAGGCCGAATATTAAAAATGAATTTCGGCCGAAACCGAAGCCGAAACCGAAAATGTAATATTAAGTTATTTTGAAATTCGATCTCGCATACATCTGCATACATCGAAAATGATGAGGGAAAGTATAAATATTTACATTCTTTTTATAAAAAATGAGATAATCGTGAATATTAATAAATAAACATCTAAAATAGGGGTCTCAAACTCGCGGCCCGCAAGCCATTTGTGACCCGCAAGACGATATTTTTCGGCCCGCTACATGACGGAAAAGTTTAGT